TCTTCTAGTAATCTTGTTAACTCTGTAGACAAATATTCTGATCCTCGATCTGTCCTTAGTTTCTTTATCTTGTTGTTTGATTGATTTTCAACAAGATTCTTGAATCTCTTGAACGTTTGGAGTACTTCTAACTTTGCCTTCAGAAAGTATACCCACACCATTCTTGTAGCATCATCAATGAACGTGAGTAGGTATGTACTCCCATTGAAGGATGTGTTTTGCATTGGTCCATGTAGATCATTATAGATTAGCATCAGTTTGTGTTTTGCTCTTGACTCTGATTCTTTTAGAAATGAATCTCTGTTCATCAATGATACAACTTTCACATCTTTCATTGTTTACCTTGAACTTGGGTAGACCGTGGACGATTCTTTGAGCCTGCATAGTCTTCAGCATTGTTGACCACCATGGCTGATTCTTCATGAGCAGACCATTTAATGTGGAAACTCTTGTTCACCATTTAAACTTTCCCAATATTTCTTCCCTTTTTGTCATAGATTATGCACTGTTTTCTTTGAACATCACTTGGTACCCATTAGTGATCATTTGAGGAACACTTAAAAGAGCTTTTTCCCGAGTTTGGGTACAAGAAGAACACATTTTATGATTATCTTACCCTTCTTCGTCATGACTGCTATGTCTCCTTTTCTTTTGACAGAAGCACAACACCATTTCCCACACGTATTGGAGCATTGATGTTTGTATTAAGATTTACAAACATTTCTTCATTTGGAGTCATGTGACTTGTACAGCTTCTGTCAATTAACCAACTTCTGTCATTTCTTGACTCTTGATTTTCTTGACTTGTTGTGAAAATGTGATCAACTTCTGCTTCATCTTCTTTCTTCTTTTTTTTTTGTAACACAACTTTCATTAATTAAAACTTAAGGACCCAAAGGGTTCATTACAGAGTTACAAGAAAACATAGCAGGTTTAGCTAACAGATCGGCATCGATATTCCTAGAACGAGGAATCCACACAAAAGAGCAGAGCTCAAAAGAAACAGAGAAATGGCAGATGTCCACAATCAAACCATACAGTTCCGGGGGTACCGTCTTTGAATTTAGAGATGCTATCAACTGAGCAGAGTCAGACTCAAAAATGATTTGCTGTAACCCAATTCCTTACACTTCAAGACTGCTGATCGGAGAGCCATACCCTCAGCGCTGAGGGGGGACCGTACAAATCTCAAGAAGGTCTCATCCTGAAACTTCTCCAAATTGGACTGAAGCACCCAGCCGAGCCCGCTGTGTTGGTGTCTCCTCGCCACGCTGCATCGTTCCTAACAATTGTATGTCCTTCCGGAGAAATAGAGGGAGGTGTTTTTACCTTCTCCCTTGGGTTCGCCTTCTCCTGTGCGAAGAACCATTTTCGAGCCATCGCAACAGCTCGTGTGATGGTCTCCTCAGGTGTTGCTTCCTTGTTGTTGAAGATCAGATTATTTCTCGCTGTCCATATCGCCGGCCCACAGAATCCACGGAACCAGAGATCCCGCTCCTAGTCCCACCGGAGGGAGTGTGATCAACTCGCAAAGGGAAGTCCAATTCACAATCAAATCTATCTGTCCTCTAACTCCAACGTTTGAGTAAAGCGGTGCCAGCTCCCATACCTTCTTAGCAAATCCGCAATGGAGAAGAAGATGATTAATAAATTCGATCTCATTGCATCTTTTACAACGTTGGTCAACATTAATATTACGTGCCACTAGGTTTTCCCCCACCGCAAGGGCTCCTTGAAAAGTTTTCCACATGAAGAGTTTGACCTTTGGTGCCACAGGTAGGCTCCACACTTCTCGGTTCCAATTATTGAGGGAATTATTGGCAAACTGACCTTCGTCACCTTCTTCCAAAGCAGCATAGTATCCAGATTTAGTGGTGAAAACACCAGATTTTGTCTTTAACCAGACCAGCTTGTCCGGAGCCCCGGTGGTGCTTGGTGTAATAAGTTTAATTTTGTCTTCCTCCAAAGGAATCCATCGTCGAATCGCTTCACAGTCCCACTCATTTGTATTGAGGAGAAAAAGGTCTGCAACTTTGATAGATAGGCCATCACTCGGGGCAGCTCCCATTGGTCGTTCCTGGTGGGAGAGGCTAAGCCAAGCATCATCCCACATGCTAACAGAGGTTCCATCACCAATCACCCAACCCGCATTTCTAGCGCCAGGTTTCTTCCCACCAGAATTCCATGCCATCCATGAGAGACAGAGGATCCCTGTTTTACTGTAAGGAAACTTTCTTCATGGCAGTATTTACCAAGTAAAACTCGGCCAAGGAGGCAAGTCGGCTTGTCAATAAGGCGTCACCTAAACTTGGCAAGGAAAGCGTCGTTGTAACACTCGAAGTCCCTGAAACCCAACCCGCCAAGCGCTTTTGGTTGTTTCAATCTGTCCCAAGAGACCCACACAATCTTTCTATTGTCGTTCGAACCATCCCACCAGAAACGTGTAAGCACCGACTGTATTCTCTTAATCAGGGATACTGGGAGCTTAAAACATGTCAATGCATACGACGGGATTGCGGAGAGGACGATTTGCAGCATGACTAACTTCCCAGTTGGAGATAAATGTCTATTGGCCCAGCTCTTAGCCTTTTGGTCGATTTTAATAACTATCGAGGTGAAAATCTTCTTTCTTCTTTATTTCTCTGTTTTTCTCTTTGATGTTCTCTTCTAACATCTTCTTGTTCTGTTTGGTTCTTAGAACCAGTGCCTTGGTGTCTCTGACCTTGGCCTCCTTCAGTGTGCAGTCACTTTGTTTGGTGACCTTATTCAGCGAGCCTCCTAGAATTGAGTGGAGCTCTGATACCATGCTGCATTTAATGCTGTGAATAACTCTGGTTTTGATCAAAGAATTCATTCATAGGTCAGAGATTGAGAGGTGTTTGTTTTAGTCAATAACATAAGTTTTTCTTCTTCATTGATTTCATACATTCATAGTATAACAGCCTTGGACATCTTATACTACACAAAAAACCATCGACACACTAACCTCAACCACTCCTTACTAACTCCCACTAACCCATACCCTTACCACTAGATTAGCTTACACCAGAAATAGCTTGTTGACTTTCTTTTACTGTTTCGCCAACTTTGTTTGCTTCAAGTAAAGCACTCAGTTTGGTTTGTTAACAAATTGGCTCTGTCAACAGTTCCCCCATTAACAGTTCCTCCTCATCCACTATTTTGAGTAGTAACAGTTTCATTGGTTCCATCACCAAATTTTTAGGCGGTTCCTACAGCAAAGGGTCAGGCTCTCGCTGATGAGTACGGAATTAAGTTCTTTGAAACTGTAACTCTCTCAGTCTTTAGTTTCTTTAAAAAACATAGCTGCTATAGACTTGATAGGCCTGTATACACATTGCTTACCTCTATTATTCGTCTTGTTGCAGAGTGCTAAGACAAACTTAAACGTGGAAGAAATTTTCTTCTCCATAGTGAGGGACATAAAGCAGAGGCTTTCTGACCCTAACTCGAGGGTGAGGTTTGTTTACATCTCTCTCTCTCCTTTTTCACATCTCTGCTTGCCCTCTTACTTATCTTCATTCCTGTGACGGCTCTGAAACGCATTGTTACATATTTTTATTCGCTGCTTGCAGCCTCCGACGATCAGGATAAGCCAAACTGACCAGTCAGCTGGAGCCACGTAGGCCACACAGAAGTCTGCATGCTGTGAAAGTTAAGAAACATTATAATAATTGAAGTTTTAAGTCAAAACTATGTGGCTAAGAAATATTTCGTGACGGCCCTGATGTGCTTGATGTGCTTAGTGTCAAGCACGGCCCTGTCTGTAATCTTTTTTTTTTGTTTTGTCCTCCAACATGTCTGATTCATTCTAAATTGTCTTTTCTTATTCTTATGTTTTTACTACGATCGGTCCGTGCTACGGATTATAGGTTTCAATTGGTATATATATATTGTTTACATTTTTTATTACTTTTCTTATATGTTATTTAATGTTTATAATATATTTGTACAGTTATAACAGGTAAAACTAGTATAATACTCAATATTTAAGTAAAGCTAACTTAGATTTATGATTTGAAGTTAAAATGTTTAAATATTAAATTTTGAATGTAAATTTAAAATTTAGAGTTAAAATATAAAATGAATAGAGTTTCAAAATTTATGTTTAGGGTTTAAAAGCATAAGCATATTTAGGGTTTAGGGTTTTAAATAATTACAAAATTATCGTAGTAAAATGTGGCTAAATCGTAGCAAAAAAATAGTTAATAAACTAGCTAAGAAAATTTATGTGGCTAAATCATAGCATGTAGATATTTTTTTTTTTTTGTAAATTAGCTACGATTATAGTTACGTTTTATTTCTTAGCATATTTGTCACGAAATATTCGTAGCAAAATGTGAGTTTTTTAAGCCACGTCTTATTTCGTAGCAAATTCGTGACCTTTTTGCTACATTTTACATACGAAAAACCACGTTCTTCATTTCGTAGTATTTCCATAACATTTTCGTAGGATCTTCAAATTTGCTACGAACTTTTTGTGGCTATTTCGTAGCTATGGCCAAGATTTCTACTAGTGGAAGTGGCGCTGATGTGGAGAGAGTAAACATTTCTGTATATCATTAGATTTCTTTAATCTTCTAACTTCTAAGCGTTACCTACGAATCTTTAACAATATGCATAACTGAAACAAAACCATTAAAAGCGACAGATTCAGCAAATGCATGCTATTCTTTTTAATTCCACTGTATTTGATTATACTGTAGCTTTCCCATTGATCTTACACATCCGATCTTATTGTATTGTTTCACTGATCATTAAAAATTTTAAATTCAATTGTGGTTTAACCATAATAAAAAGACTTGTCACAAAAGTTTCATAACATTCATATCTCAATCTTGACGAGTTTACATGTAAAATCATATCCCATATACAAACTCCATGCAAATCCAGATGATATAGCTACTCTATAAAGCTAAAGAACACACAAAGGAAGAAGAACTATAAAAGAGTAATATCTGAATACGAGATGAATGTGAAAATCAGTACATGATGCTTCCCAACTCCAAGTTTAAATTGATGCTACTCTCCATAGAATCTGACCCCAAGTCCAAACAAGCAATTCTTTTCCCACTACTCGATTTATTCAATGTCGTAGTAATCACCGCCTCAGGGAAAAAAGAGTGTGTAACCAACGCGCCGCTAGCTTCTTCCTCGTTCCTATGCTTCCTCATGTGACCACCAAGAGCCTGTCCCATCGGAAACTCCAAGCCACATATCGGACAACGATGTTCCTTTGTGTTCTTTGTCTTCTTCTTAGCGACGGATCCCGAAGAAAGTGAAGACGACTGTTCGTCACTGCTGCTGTTCTTAACGTGTTTGTTGTGGCTTGCGCGGTGGCCTCCTAAAGATTGAAACGATGAAAACTCTTTCATACAAGTTTTGCATCTGTAAACACGACTGATCTCTCCACCTCCTCCACAGTATCTCCCAACCCTTGATAACAGCATCATACAGTTCGCCGCCGTATCTTCCACCGTCCTCTCAAGTTTCTCGTTATTCGCCGCCATATTATCCACCGACCTATCAAGTTTCTTGGTATTCTCTTTTTCAGCCGTGCGTTCAAGTTTCTCGCTATTCTTGGCCGTAAATTCCATTGTTTGATCAAGATTATCACTTCTTGCAACCATGGTTGATCGTTATTCTAAATCGGATTTCACTAACTTCACTTCTAGGTTTTTCTTTTGTGTGTTTCCCTACGGTTGGGAGTTTTAGTATGTTGTTTCAATTGTGATGGTTGGTATTTATAGGAGAACGAGGTTGGGTGTGTAAAGATATTATTAATTAACGAAAATACCCTTCTACTTGATCTGCAAGCTAGCGAAAATGGTATTTGTTGTGTAATTCACCGTCATTGCAAAAAAGGAAATTAATCATTACCTAAGAAAAAGAAATCTACGTTTTGGAAATTTATTTAGCACATTTTGGGTTCATGCATTTCATAAGCCGCCACCAAGATTTTATTCTTGGTTAAAAATAAATAATTGTTAACATCCATATCTACTACTCTAAATACGCCCAGATCTTCACAAAAATAAAAACAAAAAAGTCCAGATCTTTAGTTAACGTTTTTGTGTTTTGTTTATTCATTAATATTTTACTCAGACTTATTTATAACTCAGCACATATTATTCGTTCTTTATACTTTAGGAAGTTCGTGCCTATTGGACGAGATACGTCTTGGTCTTGTCATTCCAGTGATCACGAGAACTTTGAAACTTGTATATATGTTGTTATGTTTATCTGTAGATGACGATTAAATTACTATCATTCATTAGCTACATTATTATTATCGATGTATATATTTTCTTTTTTTCTAATATTATTATCACTCTTTTTTTTTAAATTATACAGAGATATCATGACTCCACAGAAATGGTCTGAAATAGCCACGTGTTGCCACGTATCGGTCCTCAGTCTCTAACAATGTCGAAATGTTAATTCTCCAATGACCAGGATTCGAATCTAGGTAACAGTATTCACAGCTATAAACCATTTACCACTAAAGCTATAAGCCCCAGTTCATTATTATCATTCATATTATCTACATTATAGTGGCTAATGATTTCACCATGAAATGTTAGATCATGGTTTGATTTTTTATTTTCATTGTAACTTTATACTATAGATTGCGAAGATTAGTTTAGGCTTTTGCCGGGATTCTTTTGGAAGATGGGTCAAATTAAACTGATCAAGATCACAATCTGATATGACCGAGATCGAGATTCGATGATGGTCATAATTGGAACTAATAACAAAGTGTGAACTTCATGGTTGAGAACTTATCAATGACTCGCCATTTTAGTACACCGTCAATTTTATTGTGTAGAGTTATTTTGACGTTAAATATCAATGTTAAGTGAAACGACGTTGCTTTGTGTGTTTTTAAAACGAAAAATATGTTTATCTCAGGATTCGAACTCGAGAACTCAAAGCCAAAAAACATGCTCCTTCGCCACCAAGATAACGACATTTCTGATGATTCTCAAACATATTTCCTTTTATTGAGTATCCAAAAAATATTTAGAAACCTTAAAATTTTACAAAATTCAAAAAATCAATAAAATTCTAAAAATATTAAAATAAAAAATTAAATTACAAATAAAATTTATTTTTCACTAATATTAATTAAAAAATTCATAAAAATCTAAAAAATCCAAAAATGCGAAAAATAATTTTTAAAAAGATGACAAAAAATAATGATTAAAATATTTAAAAAATTAGTTTTTATACAAATTAATGTATCTAAGATCATTTGTGTATTTTATCTTTAATTCATTAATCATACGAAAAATATAGTGGGAAAAATATAATTTTGTCTATTATCTTGCATGCATTCATTTATATAAGAGCAAATTATTTTAATCATTAATTTTAATTTTTTTTCCTTTGAATTTTTTAGATTTTTTTATTTTTTTTTAATTTGTTGGACTTTTTTGTTTCTTATAAATTAATATATTTGAGATAAAACACAAAAATGATATTTATCACGCTATATGTTTTAGTACAATTTTTGTTTTCTAAAAACAATAAAAAAATTGTTGCTAAGATATGATAACAAACGAACATACACCAAAAACTACAAATGTTTTTTATTTAATTATTATCTAGTAATGTATATAAATATTTATTTTTTTGTTGTATGTTCATTCAATATCATATTTTACCAAAAACAATTTGTGATAATATCATTTTTTTATTTTATCTTAATTATCATTCCTATTTTATCTTAAATACATTATTCATACTAAAATTTATAGTGTGATAAATATCATTTTATTTTATCTTACATACATTAATTTATATAAAAATAGGTTTCAAGTTTTTTAATCATTAAATTTAATTCATTGCATTTCTTTGAAATATTTTAGAATTTTTTCAAATTTTTAATGTTTTTATTTTTTAAACAAAAAGATAATTTGAAATTTCAATTTTATTTTTACCTTTTCAGAATTTTCTTGAATTTTTAAGATTTTTTGGAAGTTTTAAAAAATAATTTAGATTTTTCAAGATTTTTTTGATACTCAATAAAACAAAACATGTTAGAGATTTCCTTAAAAGTATTTGTAGCACAGTGACAAGAAACCTCAAATTTGGCCATGAGTTCTCAGGTTCGACCCACGCGATCGACATGTTTTTATAATAAAAATAGGTAAAACGACGTCGTTTCATTCCATCTCAAAACAACGTCGTTTTACTTAACGGATCTTAGCAAACAGTGTTCAATCCTTCTGTCAAATTTATTAACGGCGTGTTTAAGTGGCGAGTCAGTGATAATTTACTGATTAAAGTTTAAAAGTCAAATATTGTTTAGTATTTTTTTGGCCAGCCAATATATTCGTGTTTGTTTTGGTAATTTATGTAAAGTTGAAGTTTTTTTTGGCCGAATTCTCGTTGTATATATGGACACTATATATGAACAAGAGAGAGTGATGTGTGATGCGTCATTTGATGTAATTCCATGCGGTTCCTTCTTATCTCTCAGGGGAAATACGGCTTCACAAGTTTCCTATCCACAACCTTTTATCCTTCCATCTTCACCTTCCATATTACGGTGCGAGCATAATATCCATCTCAGATTTGTTATATAAATTTATGACAATTGATTGTACGTCCTTAAGCATCTTACCCTGATTATTTATATTGCATCAAACAGTTCATATTGTGTTGATTCATTGATTAAGCGATAAAATTCTATTGGTTAATTTACTCAAAGAAAATTTAAACTCTAGATTGTATTTGGATATTTTCCAATTAGTTACTTACTCAAATTCAAACATATTTTGGTGTTAACTTATTCTGTCTAGTGACCATGGAAGTTTTCTCCTAACCATAGTAACCATAACAAAACTTCTCATGCATATTTTTTTTTGGGAATTATGCTAATATGGAACAGAAATATACACTCTTTGTCCCTTTAGTATAAAACCTACTTGTCCTTGTCCTTATAGTATAAATCTTTTCATAATCCCAAAATTAACATTACATTAATCTAATTAAACATATTTTAAACATTTAACTTCAAATAGATTAAAAGGAAAAAAAAGTT